GGGGGGATCTCCACAGCTGAGATATTTCTCCTAATTCTCAGCCACCACACGTGGATGTGAGACCAGTCCATTTTGCATCTCCATCCCTCCTACCAGTCTCGAAGTGGTGTCTTCTGTTTGTCCCCAGTTGTAGGACTTCTGTTGAGCCAGACTTCAGGCAATTTCCAATGATGGTTATTCTGTAGTTAGTTGTAATTTTGATGTGGTTTTGAGAGGAGGCGTACAGCATTTACCTACTGAACCATCTTGACTGGAAACTTTAACAGCTTTTTTGAGATATAATTTACATATGATGAAATTCACTCATTGTAAGAGTATAGTTTACTTATTTCCATGAAATGTGTAGAATTGTACAACCAATATCAGGGTCCAGTTTTAGAACATTCTCATGCCTATTTGCAATCAGTTCTTGCTCCCATACTAACCATTTGTAGTTTTCTGTTTCTATCAATTTGATTTGCCCTTTCTAGAAATTTTACATAAATTGACTAATAGAATACATCTTTTTGTGTCTTGCTGTTTCCATTTAGTCTCTGTTGTTGAGGTTATCTATATCTAGCATTTATCGGTAGTGTGTTTCTTTTTATTGCTGAATAGTATTCTACTGTATGGATCTATCACATTTTGTTTATCTATTGGCTAGTGTATGGACATTTGGGTTGTTGCTAGTTTTTGCTATTATGCACAATGATACTATGAATGTTCATGTATATGTCTTTGTGTAAACATGTGCTTTTATTTCTCTTGGGTAGATTCTTAGGAGTAGATTTGTTGGGTTCTATAGTAAGTTTATGTTTATCTTTTTAAGAAACAGCTAAAGTGTTTTCCAAAGTGGCTGTACCATTTTACATTTCTATCAGCAATGTATGAGGACTCCCATTTCTCTACATTCTTGTTAACATTTGTTATTGTCAGTCTTTGGATTATAGTCACTCTAATGAGTAGCACCTCATTGTGGGTTTAGTTTGTTTTCCTAATGACTACTGATGTTATGTATCTTTTCATGTGTTTATTAGCCATTTGTATATCTTCTTTATGAAATATCTCTTCAGATATTTTGGGATGTTAGTCTTCTTATTAAGTTGTCAAAATTTTCTTTATACACTTTATATTGTATGTGATTTTCAAATCTTTTTTGTGTCTTTTTATTTTCTTAATGATGTATTTGTTTGAATTCAAGGCCTGTGCCTTTAAATGTCTGTTTTATTGCCTTATGTAATGTTAGAGAAAGTACTTAACCCTCTATTTGGCAGACTTTGGTAACTATGCTTAAATTATTTTATTATGCCTATGTTACTCAGTTTCAGCTTGAATATCTCTGGAAATGGGAAACTCACTTCATCCTCAAGTAGGTCTTTTCCTCATATGACAGCTTCTGTTACACTTTTCTAACGTGGAACTGAATATTGTCTTTTGGTTACTCCTGCAATATTTGACTTTTGAGATTTACACAGAATCAGTCAGTTATCTCTTCTATATGAAAACAAGTTTTTCATTTATTTTTTGCCAGGCTAAATACTCTCAAAATTTTTAGATATTTTTAAAAACTAAAGTTATTTTCCATTTTGGCACTTTTCTTTGGATGCACTCTAGATGATTAGTATCCTGCTGAGATTGGTACAGCTGGAAATAAATATAATTCCACAATTAGGATACTAAAACAAAAATAATAATATTTACCCATGCACAGGCTAGGTCTTTTACAACTCTTTACAATGACAGTAGATGAAGAAACTGAGGCTTACAGAGATGCTTTCATCTGTCACTTCACAGCTAATAAGTGACTATTAAGTCAGAATTTGAACTGAAGTCTGCTTAACTCCAACTCTCTTCACTCTGCTGCTTTTGGCTGACAGGGAATGCAGTGTGGCTATGTTCCCACCTCTATTCTAGATGTTCTGGTTCTATCAATTTACTCTAAGATTACATTAATCTTTTTGGCAGCAATGTTATACTTGGCAGCATATCACTGACTTATATTAAGCTTGCATTCAAATAAAATCTATGAATCTTAATAAGGTCTTAAATATTTGAGCTTCTGTCTTGTCTGGCCTGCCAGTCTTATCTTATGTACTAAATTTTCAGTATAAATGCAAGACTTTGTGTTCATCTCTTTACTTACATCTTGGTGATTTTAGCCTATTTCTAGTTTTCCAAGATAATTTTGAATTTTGAGTCTGTCTATGACATCAACTCTCCCTCCACATATATGACCGTGTACATCTTTGATAAGTATTCTTGCTTCGATACACTGTCAAACAGATTAAGGTTGAATAAAGAATCGATACAGCATATCTATTTTTTCCCAAATATTGTTGAAGTATACTTTTCTAAAATCTAGAACACTAGAACATATGTTTGGCCATGCTCATGGTTTTCTTTTCTTAGTATTATTAATATTAAGATAACATGATCACCTAATTTCAAGGTTCTGGTTGAATGATGTTGAGGATATCAGTTACAATTATTGTTTCCTCCGCCTTTTGAGCAATAAGTTTATTATATAGGAAATAGAGAGTTTAGTAGGTGTTCTACTCTTTGAGACTTCTATCAGAAGATATCAGGATAATTTAAACTCATCTTCACTCTTTATAGTATGTTTTGGTACAAGTTTTGTAAAGTTTTCTGAGAAAGTATGGTTCATATTTCTTTTCTGGTTAGTCCATCTATGGTATGCTACTGTAATAGTATAATTAGGTTTTTCTTTTTAGTTTCTCACTTTTATTGTTTACAGTCTTTTGTTATTAAGTTCATGAGTATATGGGAGTAACTTATGGAAAGATCACTCAATTTAGCTTTGAAAATTCCTATATTTGGGGGCTAACCATGCTATGTGAACTTGAGCAAGTCACTTCAGCCTTGTGGATCTCAGTTTCTTCATATATTTAGTAAGGGTAATAATATTATTCTTTATCCTTTAAGATTACAAAAACAAGTTAGGATTTCAAAAATAGGCAACTATTAATGATTTATACAAATAGTGCCTTTATCTCCCATAACAAGAAATCAAGAGATGGGTAGTCTAGCACCAGTATGGTAGCTATGGTAGCTTCATAAAGACATGAAGGACTTAGGCTCGTCTTATCTTTCTGTCCACCATCTTTAGTGTGGTATCCTTTGCCCTCTTGCTTCTTGACTCATTGTCACAAAATGGCTACTGTCACTCTAGGCCTCATGTCTATTTCAGGCATAAAGAATAGGAAGAATTAAGAAGCTGAAGGAAAAAAAAACATGATTTTCTCTTAGTGAGGGTTTGTGTTTTAATTTGGCAAAGAAAGTCTTCTAGGGATGTCTGCCTGCCACTTATTGGCCAGAACCATGTTACTTGGCCATCTCTTGCTTCAAGGAAAGCTGGGAAATTGTATATTTTCGCTTTTCGGTCTCTACAGTAGAGGAAGGCAAAGGAGAAGAGATTGTGTTTAGAATTTTGGTCAGCTAATCAACAATGTCTGCTGCATACTTTCATAGGATTGTTGAAAGGATTCAATGATACAATGTAATTAAAAATTTAAGAGTGTAATTTAAATAAATGTAAACTAGATTTATTTTCCTCTTGACTTCTATTGATAATCTTAAAAACTAGAATGTATCCTTGAATTAATTTATTCTAATATTGTATTCAAGCCTCAAAAAAATCTATGAGATTAGTTACTTGAATGTTAAATGACTTCACTTTATTGCTTACATTCTAGAAAATTGGTATAAATAAGTTTAGGTATAAAAACTGCATTATTTTCAAACTGTTTTCATCTAAAATGAATAAGAAGCATTCCCACATTGGGCTAATCTTTGTGAACCACATATCCTAACCCTCATTGTCATGGTTTTTTTTTTATATCCAGGCTTCTCTTTTAGGGCTCTGTTTATGTGTTTGAAGGTCATTTGTACACACAGTGTTCTATCTTTCATGCCACATGCCCAAGTTTTTTTAAATGGCATTGAGCATTGCTTAAAGAGCCAAATCTTTCCTATTGATACCATCAACACGGGAATTCGTTTTTCCCTTTCAAAGCCATTGGTGTCAACAATGACAGAGCAGTTATTTTTTTAGCATTTTCTCCTAAAATTCTCTAGTTTGCTATGTAAAACTTGAAAGTTTCTAGAGTTGTCATCTAGATTGCTGTTGATAATATCATTTATTTCTATGATAATTAGCGGAGTTGTATTTTAATTTGTGAAAATAAATAACTTCAGGACATGAAAGCTACCTGCTAATTGGGAAGCATTCTATATGAATGTTTGTTTTTGAGAAAGAGAATACTTCTGCTTTGAGTGAAATCATACTGAAGTATAAAAAGCAGTGTGTCTGTCACTAATGGGAAAATAAATAGGGAATATAATTAGGAAAGAGGCAGATCTGAAAAGTGACTCAAGCTCTACTCTTGCTTTCTTCATTGCTTCACAAAATACTTCTAGATTTAAAGAGTGATTACTAAATCAGAATGTATCCAGAGATACAGGAAAAAATAACAAGAGAAATTTTGAGCAGCTAACCCACAGAATGGCAGCCATAGTCTGAGCTGAATGCCCTGGCTGGGAGATAATTTTGAAAACAGGTCAAGTATCCCAAATACACATGCTGATAGCTTCAGCTATTACCTGGTCCTATTGCATGATATAGAGGAAATGACTTTTATAGTCACTAGTATTTGGACAAGGTTGTATTATTTTTCCTCATGGAGAATAATAAAAGATGTTAAGACAGGGCCCAGGAAGTGAGCTTAGAAGGGGAACGGAGGAGTGATAATCTTAAATCAGGTCAGAGAGGTAAGAAATAGAAAAAAATCTCTCAAGAGTTTAGAAATGACCAGAGAAACTGCAGGATGTATCATGAAGTTGGAGACCTTCAGGTTCATTACTTCTGAATTTCTTCATTCTGATGAAAATACTGGCAGTTTATAAATTCTGTGATTTTGGGGTAAAACAAGACTTAGATGTGTGTATGGTTTTTATTTTGTTTTGCTTTTCATTTGTGCTGCCTTTTTGCTTTCTTTTTGTAGACATTGTTCGAAGTGATGTTGCCTTGGATAAACAGAAAGGCTGCAAGATTGCCCAGCACCCTGATGTGATGCTGGAGCTCCAACGAGAGAAGGCAGCTCAGATGCATCTGGTTCTTCTAAAGGAGCAATTCTCCAATACTTACAGTAATCTCATATTAACAGGTAAGGATATTGGAGTTGGCTGGAATCTTATAGCATCATAGATTGATGGCCTTTATCAGTTAGCAGCTTGATGCTTGGGAGACACTAAAGTGGGATCCAGATGAGGCCACATCTGTCTGTCTCCACTCACTATATCCCTTTTTAAATTGTGATGACTCTTGACTTTCTATAAAAAATATTTCTTGTAGTTTGCAGATGTGTTTTGGCTTGAGGTTATGGGCGATTCAGCATGTGTGTTCTCAAAAGACAGAACCAATGAAAATCTAATGAAGCCTTATAAAAATATGACTTTTTAGATGTGTGCCAGTAGATTTGAGAGAATTACTAAATTTGGTGTCTAAGAAGCAGCTATTTTCCTCTTTCTGTGTGTGCCCTTTCTATGAACCCAATGAATATAAAGATGAAATGTAAAAGAGATAATGATCCACAGGCAGAGCTGAGCATGTTCTGTTCCTGGTGGAGATTGAAAATATCTGGGGAATTTGATTTTCTTTTTAAGAGCAAAGAGGCTATGAAACTGAGCCATACTCCCTTACATCCTTGGTTTAGGAGGGAAGTGAATATGTGTGAGAGCTCAAAGGAGAAACAACTTTTTGTAGGGTGCCTTTAAACTTTGCTGGTAAGAACATACAAGTTCCATGCCTTTGTTGAGCTTTGGAAAAGATTCCAGCAGCAGACTTTAATGTGGGAATCATGAAGGACTTAAGGTGAACTAAGAGCTGTTCAAGTTACCTCCATTTTCTTGAGGGCATGCAAGGCAGACCTGCATTATATAGATCCAAATAAACTTTAACAAATCAAAAGTGTATATTTCCCCTTGTTTATGAATATTTAAAAAATAAAAAGATGGAATGTCTGACAGGCTATGAACATCTCATGCTTATTTTTTTAAAAGTTCAATTTAGGAAAATTTAAACTTTTTTTTTTACAGGCTTCCTGGCATTTCACCAGGAATTGCTGAGTGGCAACCAAGTTGTTTTGCTTTTGAAAAAGCACAAGTCTTTTCCAATGTTTCATCTTATACCTGGTGGAAAACCCAAGAGCATGAGATGAAAGCCAGATTTAAATGTGGCTTTGGTGAGCAGAGAAGAGGATTATGGATTACATAAGTATAGGCCCTGTTTTTTGCTCTTTGATAGACTTAAAAATGATTTACGGCCAGTGTGTGTATCCCTAAATTGGTTAGTGAAACTGTGTTTAAATTTAGATGTTTGGGAAGAACATAAATTTCTCTCCAAATATTTTCAGCCTATCTCAAATGTAGAAATGTACATGTATTTAAGTGTTTTCCAATTCAGTTATTAGAAGTGAAATTTTATTCCATCCTTATTCTAATACTTTTAGGCATATATTAGAGAGGTCAGACCCCATGTTCCTTAATGTGGCATAGAAAAGGCTTAGGGTAATTCTAACCCTAAACTATGGATCCAGAGTATGGCTTGAAGGCATATTATCTCTGAAAACACAAGTGTTCTATTGAGTTCAATGGAATCTTTTCTAATTCTCAGTAACATAATCCCTTTGGATGTTTATTCGCAGTTCAAACTGTTGGAATCAACATTGTCAACTTTTACCCTGACAACTTGCTTACTTTCCACTAAACAAACTTACCCTAGAGAAGAGCCTCTTTCCTGCTCTCACTTCTCCCAAGCTGCTTCAAAGAGTCCTCAGGCATTTTCCACATTTTTCACCCAAATGCCTGTGCAGAGGTGGTACCTTGCCGCAGACAGAGCATTTGGTGTGCCCTGGTGTGTTTACATGAAAGTTCAAAAGGTTTTGGTTCCAGGTGTCGGGAAGAGATGGAGTCATTTCAATTTAGCACTGATGGTAAAACTGTTTTAATGTCCTTTAACTAAGTCTTTGATTTTACACTGTGTGGTTTTCTAATTGTTATGAAGTTTAATCCTTGATTTCTTGTATAAATTTTGAGAACATGGTCTCCAGACAGCTAAACATAATATTTAAACATAACTAAACTAACTTTTGTAAATATTTCCCTTTTCAGTGATGAATGTATATTGGTAAGGAGGGTGAGGTTGAAGGGGCAGAGACCTCTCAAATGAAGTGACTTTCTTTACCAACATGTTCAGAACACCTACTCTAGGATTTCTGCTTGGTGATGTTCCACTTATTTTGTACAACTCTGGCATAATGTTTGAGATATTTGTAATGAGAGTATTTATGTGAGAACAGGATGAGGAAACTAGGCCTCCAAAGTCTCAGAAAGAGATCACTTTTTCATGCCTCTGCCCTCCCTTCAACCCTCTCCCCAATTATTTACAGAATTTCATGTGTATGGGTAATAGTGTATCATAATTGTTTCCTGGTCAGTTAGTGGTATTCTTTGTTTTAGAATTGGACAACTGAGATCACAATATGGGAAAGAATAAAGTGATCAAAATGTCAGTATAGTAGGATGTTAATAAAATGATTGGAATGTCAGATGGTTAAAAGCATGTTAAAAATACTGGTCGTTGCCCTCCACCTCAAAAGCAAGCTCTCATTCTTAGATGTTCCATCTTTAGCTGATGTAACTGTTAGCATTGAGGGTGAGATGTGTGCCTTCATAATCTGCATTCCAGCTCATGATCTCTCTCAAACAGCCACCCCTTCAGATGAGGGCAAATGATATTCTAGCTTTGAGGGTCTTCTGACCATTTAATAAAAAGAAATAACTACAGTCCTAGTGACTACCCAGATAATGGAAACTAATAATAATTCTTTAATGTATATATATTATTGAAGTATTCTCCATTATATCACAATTTTTAGAAAAATATATTTTTGCATGATGTTAAGCACGTCTCAGTGTTTTCATATGTAGATTTACATGGTATTGGAAATAATGTTAGCCTCACCTAACCTAGAGGGTTTTTGAAGTAAAATCTCAGGTTATGGGATGGTGATAGAGTAATTCCAATAGAATATCAGTGATAGAACTATTTTAAATGGTGATGAGTTGTATACTACACTTATCACCCTGACTTAACCAGCACCTGAATGTATGCTTGTCCTGTAGCTTCTTGAGTCTGAGAGTGTTAATGTCATTGTGCATGTTAATTAGGAGTGACAAATGAAAGGGAGAGTTGAGTGGGAGCCTTTAAGAACAGAAATCATGTCTTCTATTTCTTTGTCCTCTCATGATTCTTAATGTAATGATGTTCTATAAATTTGTTGAAAATGTTCTGCTGTGTACATAATGAATGCATTCACTTGGAGACTACTTGAAAGGATAATTTTGACATCTATTCAATAGCTTTCATAGGTTCAGATTCAGTTATTTGTCTCCTTTCCCCTTTTGAGGTATAAACTTTTTTTGGGTGGATCCCTGTACTCTAATCAAATGAAAAATAGAAAATTAAAATGTTGAAAGTCAGCCTTTAAGGAACAATACATTTTCTAAGACTTTGTTTAGAACGTAATTCCTGGCCAGGGACCCTGAAGCATGGCCATTATAAATGAATGGCATTACTCAGGAAGCTTTTCAGTAGTCTTTTATAAGGACTCTTGTCATGTTATCTGCTCCCATTTTTGTTTTTGTACTTCTTTCAATCATCAGATTTTAAAGTGGGCAGAGATTTCTGTGGTCAGCTTTACTGTGTCACTGTGGCAAATTAAGTGAGCAAAAGAGGCTCATGCTACCTTGTAGTGGCCCATTCTTCTAACTTCAATTAAATGAAAGGGCTCGAATCAGTGGAATGAGAACTGTTTTTTTGGTTCTCACAAACCATAATGCTCAAAGGACTATTTCCAGATATTTAAAATTATTTACATTATATTCTATAGTATTGAATATAACATTTTATTTAATCATTTCTCTATTAATATCCATTAATTTATATACATTTTGACATATTTATTTCTGTAGAGTAGACTTCTCAAAGTGGGATGTCTGGATTAAAAGGTATGTATTTTTAAATTTTATGAATTCAGTTTTACTGAGATATAATTTACATACAGAAAAAGAAGTTTTGACAAATGTATATACTATAGAGTCATATAACCACCACCACCATCAAGATACCGAAGATTTATGTCACCCTAAAAAGTTCTCTTGTTTCCCTTTGCAGTCAATCTCCTTTCCCCAGCTCTATTCCTTAGGTGTGTCTGATCTAATATTTGATCCTAAACATTATGTAAATGAAATAATTAAGCAGTTTATGTGTCTGATTTCTTTCACTTAGCGTAATTTTTTGATATTCATTCATCTTGTTGCATATATCAGCGTTTCATTCCTTTTTATTGCTGAGTAGTATTTTATGTTATGAAATTCTGCAGTTTGTTTATCCAATTATCTGTTGATGGACATTTTGGTTTGTTTCTAGTTTTTGATGATTATGAATAAAGCCAGTATAAACATTTGTTCTCAGATCTTTGTGTTGACATAGATTTTCACTTCTTTTAGGTACCTGATTTTATGGTGTCTGTTTAACTTTATAAGAAACTGTCAGACTATTTTCAAAAGTGACTATACTATCTTGCATCCCACCAACAATGTATGAGAGTTGTAGTTCTTCCACATCCTTGTTAACAAGTAGTATTGTCTGTCTTTTAAATTTTAGCTATTCTGGTGAATAAGTAGTAGAATTTCGCAGTTTTAATTTACAATTTACCTTATGACTTTACCGATCACCTCTTCAGTGCTTATTTGTGATCTACATATCTTCTTTGGTGAAGTGTCTTTTCAAGCCTTTTGCCTATTTAAAAAAAATTAGTAAGTTTGGTTTTCTTACTATGGAGCTTTAAGAGTTCTGTATATATTTTGGGCTACAAGTCTTTAATCAGATATGTGATTTGCAAATATTTTCTGTGTGACTTGTCTTTGTATTTTCTTAACAGTTTCTTCTGAAGAGCAGAAACTTAATTTTGATGAAGTCCAATTTATGAATTTTTTCTCTTATGGTTTCTATTTAAAATTTTAATGTATCTTGCCAGATCATTTTCAGAAAAGATTGTAGCAATTCCCATTCTCAGTAGCAGTGTATGAGAGCAATTATTTC